TAAAAGGTGCCAACAATAACATTTCTAAGGCAAAGAGTAATTCATTTTTTTCCCCAGGTGATGGCAAAATCACAAGATTTTAGCACTGAACAAAACAAAAATCCCCAATATCTATGAAAAGTACTTGTATCATTCTTGACATCAAGTGATTCTTGACAGTATTTATGCTTTTATATGTTATTACATCAGTTTTAAACACTTTTGCATGTGGGAGCGATTTAGGATATTTTTATTATCTTTATCATCATCTATCATGAAGTTTGCCTAATGATGAGGTCATAACAACTTCAGAAAGGTATTCTGTATTTTTACTGTTTTGGATTTTGCATATTAGCAAATGTTCATGAGTGTCAGGGCTATATACAGGATTTTAGAAATACTGATGTCATGATTACCCCAAAAACCCACTCACCTAAAAAATTGAAGGACTATCCGCCAACCAAACTCTGTACACTTTTGTGACTATTTAACTGTATCACAACATTTTAGATTTTATTTATTAATTTAACTATTCAGTTATATTTTCTGAAAATGTTGTTTCAAAGCCATATCCACACTACCAGGTAAATCCTTTTATTTAAATTTATATAATATATAATTCAATTACTTTGCCTAATAAACACCATATTTTAAGATAAAAAGCCTTATAAAATGTCAGAATCAGCCTTACAAAAAAACATGCCAACTCCCCTTTATGTCATTTAACCCTGCAAATTTCTTCATTTCCTCAGTGGTAGCTACAGCCCTGATGAGTATGATCAGGTGAGGTCTTCACGCTGTATTACCTTAATGAGGCGAGAGAGGGCTTGCTACAGGTCAGTTTACTCTAAAACAGGTCCTGTTTACACCTGGCATTAACATGCTTCTTAGGTAATCCAATCAGTGGACAGTTCCAAGTATGTCAGTTCACTACTCCACATGCGTTTGGAGGGACCACTTGTGATCAGATCTCACTTCCACGCTCTATATGTAAATAAACACAACAATGAATTTGAATTTACTGTTTATCAAATCATAAATGATATACGATACGATAGACATTGCTGTAACAGAGTGTTTCTGGTGGCCAGGCCTCACGCATTACTGTACAAAAATTCAACTCATAACTTTATTCACTAAGTGTGGTGAAATTGGATCATATTTTATGGAGAAAATATTTTCTGGTTTTATTTCCGATGCCCTCTGGGTGCTCTGCCTTAATGCTCTGTGATTTACGGAGTTTCTTGATGGACAGATAGCTTTACTTGTTGATAAAGTAACCACTGTCTGCTGCAAACTGTAACAGTAACCCCCCGGTGCTCTGAGCTCCCAGTCCAGGTATAGTCAGCTAGCATTACTAGGACTGCTAGCTAACTGAGCTAACTATCTAAAGGCACTTACAAATGTGGTTCTGAGTAATCAGATCTCAGAGCATTCTCAGTGTATATTGGATGCATTCACACCTGTACTTAGAGGTGTATGTGAAGGTTCTCAGTCATCCAGGTCATAGTTATGCAAGGAAGGCCTCTGGACTTGGTTGAAGATACTCAAATAGAGCTGTCTTGTAATTGTATCACATTAATGCTAGGTGTAAACAGGGCCACAGATTCCATACAAAGAGGACACTCCTGCAGCTCTCCTGGGAAGCATCCTGAGGAGAGAAGGAGCTACACTAAACTATTATCTCTCACTGTTTCAACATGGAATGTGAGAAGCTCCCTTTTCAGTGTGATTGTGCTGTTGTGAATATTTTCACATAAACTCTCATGAACTTGTTATTTAACTGTTGTCACCCCAAATACTTATGCAAATGACTTTGCCTGCTTTTGTAAGAGTAGAGGCTAATTTTTTGGCGTACCACAATATAACTGGAGTATAAAGACCAATTTTGATTTAAATTAATTCAGCGGGCAAAGGCCAAATGAGTTCCACTCCAGTTACCGTGGTTTCTTTGTATTGTATGCTATTCAGAAGCGGCCAAAAACTTGGTAACCTGCGTGTTGAGATGAGAAGAATGGCCACTTGTAGTCACAGTGTTTAGCAGGCAGAGAACAGCTCACAGGGCAGGACAGGGAGGCTTGGCTTCTTAAAATGTGGGAAAGATGGACGATACATGAGGGAACTAAAATTAACACAATTTTAAACAGTGTCCACTTGTTTGTATCAAAGCTGTGAAAACAGTTGGTGATCAAACCGTTGGATATTGAATTGATACAAACTGTCCACATCCTCCAGTGTCCTTCCTGTTATCCACCACGCCAGTGGCAGCATTCAGTCACGGTTGGTCCACACCATCGAATGATGTCTCTACGTAATGACACCACAACTAAAACCGGATTATCCCAAGGCCAGTGACATCACCACCCCCACCCCCTCCAGCTCCTAGTCATCTCTGACCATCTGGGGGTTACTAGAGGATATTCATTCCCATGAGTTCAATGGTCACACCGGGTGCTGCACGGATGGCTCTGGCCTGCAGCGTCACCCTGCAGCTGTCACCTGTAACTGACCCATCACAGGGAGAGCACTGTTCCCACAATTTAGGTTCACATATTTGAAAAAGAAATGTAGGACTGCATTTAAAGTTTCATGAAAAAAACCCACCCTAAGTGAAAAAGAGAGTTCTGTTGAGATGGTACTGATGGAGCTGACTTTTAAACACCAACTGAGAAGTCTGAGACATTAAGAAAGTTTCAATCGGTTTATTTTTCCCTTTTTTGACATGTCATACACAGAATGAAACAGTTAAGACCCATTATAATGTGAATGTCTTACAAAAGATCTTACAAAAGATTTCCCAAAATATTTATCTCATGGTATAACAACAAATCAAGTGCAAATCACTGCATACTGTTAAAAATGCTGTTTGCAGTGCAGGGATGATTTGCTCATTCAAGTGAATGGTGAAGTCAGGCTTTCTCATATGTGCGCACTGCCTGTACTCCCTCAAAAGTCAAAGTCTGTGAGGGGGAGGAGACAAAAAGCAAAAGACAACCTATATTACACGATGGCAGTCAACATTTAGCTGTGATTTTCATGCAATGTCTAGATATCATGCATACTGAGTGTAAAGCAAGTTTTCTTCAATGCATTTGGGTCATATGATATCAGTTATTGCACCATTGCAAAAGCAAGGCGAGGCAAGTTTATTTGTGCAACAAGTTTCAACAACAAGGCAATTTTGTGGGTTTTACATAAGCACTTTGAAGCTGTGTTTGCAGAGCAAATGGCTACATGATGAATGTAACCACAAAAAGATTGATCTTCACTTGCCACTGTTGGGCTACACATTTTCTATTTAGTTATATGTGTGTTATTTAACCTTACCGCCACCAACTTCCCGTCCTTGATTTCTCTTACAAATTTGGTCTCCTTGTCGTCCCACTTCTGCACTTGCACAAGTTTGTCTCCCTCCATGGTGAAGGTAGACTGCAAGCACAAGCACAATACAGTTTAAACCACCTCAGGTAAACATACAGCTAGACTGCACGTTTCAGTGAAGATTATACCTGACTTAGCAAATCTTACTTTGACATGTCGGTCATCGACTGTGGTCTCATCAAACTCCTCTCCCAGTTTGGAGGAGATCTCCGTGTTCCTAAAGGTGCTCAGGGTCTTAACCACCACTTTGTCCCCATCCTGGCTGATCACTACTGTCGGTTTAGTGACATTGCCCACTTGTCTTGTGGCAAAACCAACACCTGTCAAAAACAACAAAAAGTGCATTTGGTGATACATTATGCTGCAGGGCACACATTACAACCATTTATTTACTTCTTTTCTGTATTTAAAATGAACATCTTTGAGAAATAAGAATAAGAAGACGACATACCGCAAGGGGAAATTTAAATTTTTTTTCACTGTTGTTGTTATTATTACTTATTATGCACACACAGCAACTACTATCCCAGAAACGCAATTGTAGAATAAGTGCAGCCTACAGCAGACAACATTGCTCACACTCCAAACTATTATCTCTTATCTCAAGGAAATAAATGATCTTACCTAGTGCCTTCATGTATTCATCAAAGTTCTGGCTGTCAATCAGTTTCCATGTACCGCAGAAAGCATCAACCATTTTTGCAGATGTAGTATTCCAGGTCAGTATAACACTAAGTCTAGCTCTGTTCTCCCTGCAGTAAATTCAACACGGTGTCTCGCTGCCTAAATTAATACTGACGGAGGGCGAGAACTCGAGCTGCAGCGTGAAAGCTGATTGGATGTTCCAGACGCTTTGTGGGTGATGATTGGCCGTCGCAAAATGTGCTATTAACATAATATTGAATGATTTTTTTCCTAGGATGACGATGGCATGCCACGCGCTACTCTGCCTCTGATTGGCTTAACCTTATTCTTACCCTAAACAATCTCATTCCTCTCACCTAGAGCTCTTTAAAGGGCTCTGCTCTCACCTATACCAAACCAACCCAATCAACGAAGGCAACGAGTACTAGCCAATCAGAGGCACTGTAGGGCGTGCCATGACTTGACCATCCCAGCGAAGGAAATGACATACCAGACTGAGTGGCACAGGACTTCACTCTGTGATAAGCACTTTAGGCAATTAGAGCAATTATTTACTGCAGACACCTATTAGAGACACATATCTCATTATTACACAGAGATAAAGTAAATGTTATTTTTTTCAACGCCATGTTTTTAATGCTAGCATGCTAATATTCTCACAATGAGAATGCTAACATATTAACATACACATAACAGGTGTAATGTTTTCCGAGTTCATCATCTTTCATAGTCTTTTTTTTTTTTCCCCCCATCGCCAACATTTGCTACCTTTGATGTGAATACAATAAAAATATGTTTATGAATGGTAGAGGGAGGTCATGCATTTTCTCACAGTCACTTAGGGAGGGTCAAGGAATTTTTTTGTAGCTCTGGGGAGGGTCAAAATAAAAAAAAGTCACACCCTATCCTGCTAGCATGGCTAAGAAGCTGTTAGAAGAGGTATTAAAGCCACTTTGATTCACCACTGGCATAATTAATATGACATGACTGACAAGGACTATTGTACACTTTTATTGCTGATAAAATACTTCCTGCATATACAATCTGACAGGATTACAAACAGATGTCCACTGTCATAATACAGTAGGACCAATCTCTACCAATAACTAACCTAAAGCTGTAATCAATAACACTAGCAAGTGATACAAAAAGAAACTTCACTATTGTTGAGTATATAATCAAACAGTTTTCCTGCAAAATGTTGGCACTGGTCAAGGCCAGATTATTACATGAAATAAACTTTTATAACAAAATCAAATTTCTCCCATAACACATCACATTACATACAGTATAAACATTTTTACTTCCCTGAAGGTCACATATAGTGCATGCAACTGAAACATTAAATGTTCCACAAGGAAAACCCAAGAAGCAATAATCAATAAGATTCGTGACATAAAGGATTTGAATGTGCTCTCTTACATTATATTTCTAGAGCGGCAAATTCATCTGGCGGCATAAATGGTTGTAACACAATGCCGTTTGGCTCCACTTATTCCTTTTGAATGTGAAATGACAGATTTAAGTAAAAGCAAAGACAGTCAGATCTAAAGAGGTTGAATAATGTCCTATAAAAGACAATTATGCAGTTATTTAACCATTTACAGAACATGACTGGAAGTAAACAATTTTTGATGTGTCGATTTGTCATGTCACACCTTAAGTGGAAATTGCAACTATGTGTCACTGAAATACTTTTTTAACCGTAGTTGACTCTTAGAGGACAGGGGCTTGAACAGTTTGCGGTAATTATGAATTACAGCAAGAATTGCCAACAGGGAAAGCAGAGGTAGAATGAGAGAGGTAGAGTGTGAGGTAGGGAGGACAGAGCAGCACAGAGGCTTCTCCAAATTAAGGCCTATCTAACCTCTCTCTTATCAACTTAAAACAAGCTCAGGATCCACATAAACGTTTTTGTTCTCCGCGCACAGTGACAGATTTATCATAAAATTGAGCATCACTTAAAACAAGTTGCCTAATGAGCAATGACGAGACCTAATAATGGTTGATTTTCTACTATAGTTGTTTGTTGCAATGGACAACTTATTAAAGTCAGTTAAAAGTTAAAAGCCACTGGCTACAAGTTTACATTTTTCACCCTGATTGTTTATACAAAACTCTATTTGACATAGAAATTCCAGTTAGCACAAGTTTCAGTATCTAACTGTAAGCCTGTAATAGTAAGTACAAACCGTTTTCTCTGGGCTGATTCTTGCTGTATAAGGTTACAAATTGATCCATGCAGAAAAAAATAAATAATAAAATAAAAAAAATCTATAGGTCTTCAAATATCCCTCAGAAAATGAAAAAAAAAAAAGCAGCAACTGAATAAAATAAAGGTCATGTTTGTTGTTTGTAATAGATAACTTGGCAAAATAAATTTCCTTTTCTTCTAGTCAACAAATCAAACAGGTGATTAATTTAGAATTAGATTTTAGATGGATTTGAAAGATTTGTGGAGAAATACAGTTTTAAGAAAAAAAAAAAAAAAAAAAGAAAAAGCACAGGACTAATGTCAAGTGGAGTGTCCTGCAATGTGGCATCATAGCATGTGGTTTTATATGTAGTTCTGATTTGTCCATGCATTCATGCAATCAGTGTGCTATCTGAATTCCCCAACATTGATTGACAACGCCACCTCTGGTTTCCTGGATTTGGTTGGTCCAGTCTTCTTCTGTGGTCCAACACCATCAGAGCCTGCTGACTGCCCTCTGACAAGAAGCAAGGTTAAAAACATGTTTTTCTGTTCAAACAACATCTATAAATCTATGTTCACAATTATTACACCAATTAACAAGCAGCTGCATGTGTCAAGGTAAAAAAGTCCCACCCTTTCCTGCGTTGCTCTGCCTGCTCTCTGAGCATCCGCTGGCCCTGCTCATCCTCCAGGGTGAGGAACTCCCTGTTGTTGTCAATCAAAAGATTCTGGGAAAATATCAAGAAGAGTTTCTACTTCAAACAAATCAAACCAAAGTGGACTCCTTTTTAAACAAATTGGGTTTCATCAATACCTTGATGCCGATTGTGTCGCCATCCTTGAGGTGAAATGGTGCTCCCAGTAGTGATTCTGCTTTTTTCTTCTTTTTCTTTTTGGAAACCTGCTGGCTCTGAAAGTAAAAAGGAAAATGATAATGTGACACTAAATTAGAAACACATAAAAATCCCAGTTCCTTGAATGATCAAGGCTGACTCCTCTATTGCTATTCACTCTTTGCTACATCTTGTGCAGTCAACATTTAGTTCAATGTTCTTCCCAAAGTCTCTGAAGCTTCACCATTTCCTCTACCCACTTTTCTATTGACCAAGAGCATACATATGGTTTGCATAAAAAAAAGAAAAGCAAGAAACCACTTTCTTTTAATCTTACCCAGTTTGAGATTTCTTCCCAGGTGTGTTTGTCTGGCTGGTGTTTGGCCAAGAGCAGAGAATCAGGGGAGAGGCCGTAATGTGCAGCCAAACAAGTTCGTAGAGAGCGAGGAGAAGAGTCCCGGGATGCGTCCCAAACCAGCTCCTCTGGGGGGTAGTAACACCTTTCCCCTGGTACTCTCATTTTAACATTCAGCAACACCTCCTTAGGTCTTAGGACCAGAAGGACACACACAATTAACTAAGAAATACAATAAGGGAAATCTATATATTGGAAGAGAGGTCATTTCTCATAGCATGTAGGGATGCTACATAACGTTATGGATCAATCAGGAAACTGATGGCATCCCAAACCTTACCCTAGATCTTCCTCTTTTAGCAGCTGTTGCACACAAAGGTCGGTACCACTGGTCAGCTTCAATTTCCTGACCAGGAGGTAAGCAATGACTTAAAACTTATGTATTTATCAATAATAAATTGTATTTGGTGGCCATCAATTACACAAACACACACACACACACACACACACAATATATATTTTTACACAATGACACACGTATAGGAATAAGCTCTGAGACAGGAAGGTGTTTATACCTGAGTGTGAGTTGTTGTCCTCTGAGGATACGTGCTAGCCTCTGACCCTCAAGCTGCCACACACGCATGAACGCAGTGGTTGGCAAACACATGTCCTGAAGGGCAGGCAGCGTCATCACCTGCAGACAATAACGTAGAGCAACCCCGTCAAATTCACACACATTTTGCATGGCCTGATTTGAATGAAGTCAACTAACTGGTAGGACTAAAAAAAGGGTAGTTTCTCCAGGTCCAAAGTGATGAAGACTGAAAACCATTAGAAGCCAAGAAGATTCATATGGGGTCTTTAAGGATTTCCTAACTAGTATGAATAACTTTCAAGCCGTGCTTTCCATAAACCTTCATACGCTACCTGAGTCTTCAGATCCTCCAGGGTGGCCTCGTCCGATATCTCCACTTGTCCAACACTTCTCAGTTCTGCCATGTTGCCGGCACGCAGAGAAGGAGAATGACTGAGCGTTTCACCTCCAGTCACAACCTCCAGCATCTGCTCCTCAGTGTGGCTGTTTTCAGTTTGATTAAAATGAGTTTCCATGGAAACTGCTGAGTCATTTCTGGGATCCAGATGCAGCCACACAGACAGCTTGAGAAAACCCTTACAGAAAAAGAGACAACAAAGGCTAAAGAGGGAGGTAAAAGTATAGACTATAATTAATCTTAAGCCAAAATCAAAACCTTTCAGTACCTTAGGAGGAAGCTGTCCTTCTGTGACAACTAACGTGTCTCCATTGCTTATCTTCAGCTCTGACAGAGAAGCATCCTGAGAAGAAAAGACTGTCGTGAACATGTGGACTGACACCTTAAATGCCAAACAGTTGATAAAAAAAAAATTATAACAAACATATGATTTGATGAAAAGCATACCTGAGAAACAGGAGCAAAACAAAAAAACGATACCTGCTTTAGGTAAGGCATATTGTACACACTAGTCACTTACCTCATCCATAAGTGGCTCTCCAACCTCTTCACACCAATCCAGCCTTCTCAAGTGCCAGCAGGTGCCTGCCAACACATTTAAATTACATTAAAACCAGATATTGCACCAAATACTACAGTAAAAAAAAGAACTGTTTACAGTCTTACAAAAGCAGAGATAATCTTGGTGAACAGCAACACTGAATACATGTTGAGTCTGCGGTACATGCAAGTTACATACAGTTCAATAGGAAAACAGGAAAAAACTGTAGTTTTACCATTAAGTCCAACAAAATCCAGCATTGACTTTAGACACTGCAAATAACAAGAAGAAAATAAGAGTTTAAAAAGAACTACACATACATGTAAGGTAAGCACATTATGAATGTTGAACAAAATAAGTACATGAAATGTACTTTCATGTATGTTTCTTTCCTTACCTCTTTGACAGTACAAGAATTCTCCACAATTATGTCCATCTCCATGCCAGCAGAGGGTGCTGTGCCCACAGAGAAGTGCAAGAAAAGCTGCAACGCAAAAAGAAAATTTCACAACAACATCAATCAAACATTTTAAACTTGCAACTCCTTGTCTTGATTTGTTCTAAAATGTGGGACAGGAACAGTGCAGCCGCAAGTACAAAGAACTGATTGAAGATTTTTAAATAAAAAAGACACACCTGTGATGCCTTGGGGGCATTTCCCGGACAGAGTGTCAGTGTGGTCATGAGTCGCACCCCTGCATCCCGAACACTCAGCTCCTCACACACTGTCAGGTACAAGTGCACTTGGTAAATGTGTTTTAAAACTTCAAAAGACTGATGATGAGAAGACAAATTACAAGTAGGGGCAGTATCTTTATTTTATTTTTTTAAATACCATGAGGGGGCAGTGTAAAGGAACGCCTATCTTAATATTTTGTTAAAATGAGGGGGATTTCCAGCTCTAAGTTATCTACACCTGTAAAATGATCCCCAAGTAACAAATGACACAGTACCTGGAGGAAGGAGTTTCCCTGTGCAGTCCACCTGTCTCAGACAGAAGTGTGCACCTGGTCAGCAAGAATAAAAACAACAGCGGATTTAAGAATGTATACTTAAATAAGAATCTAAAACACAAATACACCTTTTGTGATTGAATGACAAAGTTGCAAAGTAGCAATAAAAAAAAATATTACTTGAAGAAACTTGAAAGGTCCTGAGACAATGTCTATGGTCAATTATATTTTAGGCATATTATAATTTATCAACATCTTCAATATTACCTGCGTCAAAATTCTGATCTTTGGTTCCATATTGAGAAAATATATGAATCATAAATAGACAATATCCAAACCCTAAAGCAGTGCATCTTCAAGTGTGAAGTGTTCCAGTTTAATCTATTTACATTTATGACTCTGTTTTTACTTCATCTTAAAACAGAGGGGGAAAAAAACTCTCTACTGCATGTCTTATTTTTGTTTTCATTCAAATGATATTCACTTGTGAACTGTCTAAATATTTTATACACAGAAAACAAACCGGTTCAATTAACTTTAATGTACTTGATGTATGCATTGGGTTGCTGCATTATTGAAAGGAATACCAACTGTGACTCAGCATCTACATATATAATAACCTGACTGTTGTGTATCACTGGGCAGCTTGCCTGGAAATTGCTCCTGTAGCTGCAGCTCCTCTATGGCCCTCTGTTTCACCTCACACAGCAGCTGTAAGAGACACACATTAAACATAACTAAAAGATTTTTTTTGAAAGACCAATGTGATGCTTAATTGGGGAAACAAAGTGGAAGGAGAAAAAGAGCAAACACAGCAGCACAAAAATGACTGACCATATTTCCTGTAGCTGGAACCTTCATCTTCCTCCTCTCCTCTTCTTTCTCTCCTCCTCCTCCTTCATGTGGTTGAAACTCTACCTGGAGCCAGCGGCAGTCAGACGGTGTAGTCACAGTGACGACGTCTCCGTTCAGAGTGAAAATGCTGAACAAGTTGAGAAGACAGTTACACGCACACCTGAAGAAAACAACACGTGCACACGTTGCAGAGGATTTTACCTGCTGTCGAACGACTGTGGCTCCAGAACCAGCAGTGCATCTCCATCTCTTAACGACAACTCCTTTAGCGTCCGCTGCATGTCATCGGGAGGAAACAACCTCCATCCGCTTGCCCCTCCTCCCTCTCCTGCCCCCTGCTCTCCTCTCTTTCCTCCCTTATGTTCCTGGCACAGAAGACTCTCCTTAGGCTCCCCCAGTGCCTCCCTCACTTCCCCAAGAGTCGAACCACCTGCAAAACCTCGCGCCTCCCTTTTAAGTCCCGGCGCCCCATTTTCAAAACTTCCCTTTCGCTCCTCACATTCCAGCCCATCCTCCACCTCCTGATCCCCATCTTCCGCCAAAACAGGACGGACTACAGTCAGCAGCACTGGCTCCCACTCGGCTCCAGTTAGGACAGGCGCACCACACACCTGAAGAGATAAAAAAAAACAGCACACAAGTCTGCTTTTGGGGTCTTTTCAAGTCAGCACGTTATTCTTGTTAATCACAATGTGTTTTTTAACAGACACTGGGCCTCATGCAAGAGCGTACAAATCACCTTTTTGCATTCACCTATTTTGTTGTACATTTTCATACATTGTACAAACTAAATTTTCAAGTGGTTCAGTCCTGTCATACAAGTCAAATCAAGATGTCTTTAAGAATGACTCATAATGTTTTCATCTGAATGAATATATGCACAATATAACATGTCTGAATATGAGGCCAAAATAAAATTAATCAAACTTATAATTAAAATATTCTGATCACTATCATCAAACATTCTTCATCAATTTACTGGAAAAGGTTTTTTTTCACCGCTTTGTTTTAGCAGGACGTTTTATAGCACCAAAAATCTCAAACCATTTATTAATTCACCATTATTTCTGTCATAGTACAGCGCTGCTCTGATGACAAATGTATTCATATTTTATAATTGTTTCAGTAATAAATGAAATAAATAAATAAATGCCTTATACATTAATTTGGGGGGGGCATTGATTATGCTAAAGATCACACCTCGCCCATGAAGGCACAACTACTCATGACCAGGTGGCATTCATCAGGTTGAAACAAGCCATTCATGACAGTTTCGTGACTCTGATTTGCAACACTTGTACAAGGATGCCTCCCAAAAAAACAGATACAAGAGATTTACAATAAGAAAAATGTTCTAGCATGAGGTTGTTGAATGTGTTGGACTATGCCTTTCCTCACCTCTCTGCCATTCCACACAAACAGGTCAGAGTTTGTAAGAATGCCTGCACTGTACAGGGAGACACTGTCATCTGCAAAGAGTACCACAGGCAGAATGTAGTTACAACACTTGTAAAACTTCTTCTGTCCACTTGAGGGTATTTTGCATTTAAGTGTGTCACCTGTAACAGTATTGTAGAGGTGTAGACCTGCAGGAAGACTCTTGGCCACAGTCAGAGCCATATCCCCTTCCCAGAGTTCCTGCATCTATATAAACAAATGCATAAAAAAAATCCTTTTTTGTAACCATTATTTTCAGCATTTTAAACAGCATATAATATGAAGTTACCTGATAAATAGCTAATCGAAGATCTCCCACAGTCTTTCTACGGTCGAAATTCAGAGTAGTGCTCCCGTTCTGCTCTTTGCTGATCGGTTGCAGGGCTCCATTTTCTAGCCTGTAACTGGTTGCCAGGTGGAGACGCAGCTCCACAGTGTTATTTGTGGCTTCAAACTCTTCACTAGAATAGAAACAATGCTGACTGAGATTAACAATTTAAGTAGCAATATTCATACAACTTTCTTGTTCTCAACTTTTTCTGCTCATTGATTTCAATTGTAGATACCACTGAAACATCACATACGTTAGTTACAACCTACCTACTAAAACAGTTAATGTTATTGTAATATGTGAATGTGTGTCTTCTGTACCGCATTTGCTGCAGTTTGACGTTCTCCTCCTGAGCCATCTGGATGAGGTGAAGAGGAACTTTATATTGAGGATTGTTCAGAGCTGAAAATGTAGAACGACAAAACAAATTTTAATATATACATATTAATCATCAAATTACTTCACCTCCTGTGTACCTGATGACAAGACTGGTAAATTGTCAAAATTAAACCAGTGATTAACTGATTCGTTGTTTTATTGACTCAAATAACCCATATTTTTCTGCTGCTTTTCACCTCTTGTGCATTTCTTTCTCTGAAATGACATCTTTTCCAATACAAATGCAAAACATGGTGTCTATTACCTTCACTGGGCCTGTGCAGCTGTGTTTTTCTATAGAACAGCATGTATGCACTTTCTTTGCCCTGGAACTGCTTCTCTATGTCAGACTCCCTGATGGAGGTCACCGTGGAGTCGTTAAGGTCAAACCAGTGGCTACCCTGCTGACAGACGGGAAGAAACACCGTGAGAAAAAAGGCACCACAGTAATCATAAGATGGTTCATCAAGAACACAGATGAAAAGCAGAATTAAGTAGGGGTTTTTGTCCTTGAATTCCCGCTCAAATGTGACTGCTGTTCTATTACCTCTTGTTCAGGCTCTTGCTGTTGTTCAGCTGCTTCAGGGTCTGAAAGTGTCCTAGGATCAGAGTTAGTGGTCTGCTCTGCTGGGCTGGGAGGCTCAGTCCCAGGGCTTGGCGGGTTTGCCTTCAGTGCCACTCGAGTACCATGGGACACCAACATGAAAACGTCATTGTGGGACTGTAAGAACTACACCAGAAGAGAAAAAGTAAAGAAACAACCATCTTTGGGATAAGAAACAAATTGGTATAAGCCCAAAAGGACGGCAGATTTAAAGAAAACATAAAAAAATCATAACTACAAAAGAAACCAGAAATACCTTTCCTATGGGACCATATTGTTTTCTGAACTTTTTGCTCCAGGATGAACCAATCTTATCCATGAGTTTCTGTCCCAGCTGGTCCAACAGGACACTCTTTGATGGCTCCTAGTGGACAGGAAATGAACAGCACCTAATTCATTAACTAAATATGGCTGCCACCACCAACAAAAAAAGACAGGTATAAATTACACAAAAGTCAGAGTAAAGAAGCTCTTAGCATTGATTTGCCATACTTGGGCAATAATAGCGGTGAGGACAGACAAAGGGTCATCTTCTTTTAGTTTTGGCTCACACACTTCTTTGACCTCCCGCTTGAGCTTCTTCTGAATCTTAGATTTGCATTCCTCATCCTGACAACCAAAGACAGAGATGAAGTCTTTCTTAAATGCACACATTCACAAGTTTGCAGATTTTGAAAAATTTATATTGCCGATAGTAATGCACATTAGAAAAATGCCAAAGTGAGTACTAGCAATTAACTGTTTTTAATGGTAGCTTTATAGGGAATTAGTCATTTCATATCCTAAAAAGTGAGTACAACTAAAAAAACACTTCTTTTTTTTTTTTTTATAAAATATGCTTGTTTGCTCTTCTCTTTTTCTTACCGGGGGCTCCCAGTGGCCGAGCTGGTCAATATCCCTGATATAAACATGGTAATGGCCACCATAGCAGCCGCCCTTGTGGATAATGACAGAGAACAGCTCGTAGGAGTAATCAGAGTCCTCTGCACCAGTCTGTAAGGGAGGAACACACAAAAGTTCACTTATCAAGGCATCATGGTGTAACAAAACTGTTCTGGACAAAGTTAAGCATAAGCCTGGAAACCAAGATAATGTAACAAAAAGAACAACCATTAAGAAAAGTCATTTAAAATTTAAGAGGTGAGGTCAGGTACCTGTTCACAAAATGGCCGTAGGTTGATGGTGAAGGGGAAACTGTAGCGTCCCGTCTCCTTGTATCGCTCACATTTGGCAAAGTCAAAGCTGAATCTCAGCAAAGACATGGTCATGAACGGAGGGAGCTTGCTCAGCTTGGCAGACTGAATGATAACAAAGTAAGTAAAGTAAGTAATCTAATTTTAATCCTCTTTTCTATTGATTTGTCTTATTTAAAGGCCTGTTCAAAAAGGAGAACAGAGGAAAAGGGAGAGTTTTAACAGCTCTTGTGGTGTACTGTGTTGACACTAGGGTTAAAACGGTTTGAGATTTGCACGGTACAATAACTATCTCAGAAAATATCATGGTATTACATAGTTGTTGTTGTTGTTGTTATTATCATCATCAATTACAATGACCCTTAAAGGTAAGAAAACCGAAGGGAAGTTTAAGTTGAACAATATTTAATGTCCTGACAAAATTAGATTTTTTGAGATTATGTTGAAATAAGGTATCCACGTGCAGGTAAGCAAATGGACATGGTTTGATAACAGTCAATTTTCCTAACATGGTATATGGCAGTCTGAAAGCTGGCACTGACCTTAGCAGCAGTGACCAGCCTGTCACACTGTGCACAGCGGTAAAGGTTATTGCCCTCAAACAACTCCTCCTCCACAAACATGTTCCACAAAGCCTCCTCCAGGCTAGACACGCCACAAACACACAACGTCAGGTCCAGGAAGTCCTCCTAAAGAAGCCACATAAAATAAAGTGCTGGGTTAATTAGGAATCTTTGTCTCAACATACAGAAGGGCAATTTATTCCACTAGGATAACTCTTTCAATGTCAGTACTGAGCCGAAAGTATGCACAGAGAAACCCCGGACACGTGGACACACCTGTCTCTGGCTGACGTTACCGCACTCCTTGCAGACAATGCTGTTGACAATGGTCCCATGATACAGCCGGTGTATAAATGTACTACCAGTGGTGCCCACAAGAGAGTGCTCCAATGCACTGAACAAAATCCTGTTCAGTTCCTGTACATCGTGCTGATTGGTTCCCTGAGAGAGTAAACCGAAAAAAGGATTTTATTAGGGATAAAAAGACAAATGTGTGCCAATTCCATATTATGTACTACCAGTATACAGTACATAATATTACACTTTTCATAACAGTTTCTTTGATTATAATAAAAAAAAAACAAAAAAACAATGTACCTCACTATTTTATACAAACAGGAAATTATACAAGACCTGCACTGATGAACGTCAATCAAACTTCACTGAAAAAGCAAAATGGTTCTCAGCAGATATATTACTTCCCAGAGTTTAACACCATCTGCTTGTTTTATTAGGAAGCTGTTAGCAGCTTTTTTCAAGCAACGTGTCCATCAACAGACAACTCAAAATACAAGCAGAATTTTATAATGCATATTAGCTTTATTAAAAGTTGCAGTAAGCGATTCAGGAGAAATTCAACACCATGACAAAAATCATGGTATAGCGTGAACAACAACAATGGAAGCAATGTCATGTGATAAATGTTAGCTAAGTTGAGGGTTAGCGCTGTTATTACAGTTGCTGCTGCAAAGTTAACGTGCAAAGAGGATGAAAAGGTCCCAGAGCCAGCAACTCCAAACTGCAATATTCACCACTTACATCACAACAACAGCATGTCTTGGTGAACTACAAAGTAGTGTGAATGTCTGTGGGCAAGTAATTTAACATTACCTAACACACAAATCATGCCTGGAACGGCTCGAATAGTGTTGTGTGCCTAGTCCAAGCCACTTTGTTTCCCATTGACAGAGCAAGGGCTGTGTACCTGATTGTTTTTTAGCGCACATACAGAATGAACAGCTAGCCGACCGTGAGGAAATATTAACTGAATTTGACAAAAAGATATGAACACATTATTATGTAGTAAGGGAGTGGGACACATGTCACTCTTTTCTTTAAACCCATCATTTACACACAGCAAATTTTCAACATCTGTCTATTATTTGCCTAGTAGCAGCACTCTCACCTTAAATTACCCTTTCCATTTTGATAGTTTTACAGCTCTGCTTCAAGTTTAATCACATTACTGTATGTACAGTCTTGATCTGAAAAATGTGGTTAGGCATGTCCTGAGGCAAATAATGTGAATGTTTCTTTCTGTTCTGTCTCTTCAAGTATTTTTTGCATGATTGCAGCTGGGAAGCCTCCAGAAAAAATGGAATTCCAACCAGGTTGCCACTATAAACTAAGTTTTGTGATTTTCCGCATGCATTCCCAGATATTACTGGAAGGTAAATCAATCCCTGAAATGAGAAAGTGTAACCTGAGCCTCTCTTTCTCCTTCTCACTGACAAAGATAATGGACACACACCTCACTGCTGTTCCAGCCAAAACTGTCAGTGAGGTCAGCAGTGGAGGCGCTCAGTTGATTCACCAGCAGCAGACTGGCAAACAGTCTCTGCAGCTCCAGTGGAATCACTCTGACCTGAGGAGAAAAGTGGAAAAAAACTTATTACACATCACAATGACACACAAACATTACATCTGTGGTTGCACCTACTTTGGCCCCTGGTTTGTCTTTGTCTTCCAGGTATCCTAATTCCTCTGGCCCCAACCTGAACAGCTCCTCTGCAAAGACACACACCAACAACAACAATGACAATGAATATGAATAGGTAAATAAAAAGAGATTTCTAAGGAAATGTAACGTTGTCCTACCTCTGAACTCTGGGGTGAACAGCAGGGTCTGGAGCAGCGAGTTGAGGTAGCAGGTCCCCCCCTGGTTCTTGATGCCGCACAGATTGCTTCTTCCTCGGGGAGGAGGTGGCTCGCCTCCCCCCTTTGCAGTTCTCCCCCTGGAGGAAGTGGAAGCGAAACCTTCCTCCTCCTCCTCGAAAAGATTCCCAAACATGTTGTGCGAGTTATTTACTCAAGTTTCTCTCAGTTGTGGTGGGACTGTGATGCCTCGTGGTAAATCGTGTGTTTGCACTCCGATGTGCCCTCTTTGCTATCTCATCTTGGTCTTGCCGAGTTCTCTGTTGACAATGGCTGGGCTAACTCTGAAATAAGAGGACTTCACGGGGCTAAACATAGCGGCAATTACCGGATGTATAGGCGTTGGACTGGCAGTTGCGCGGTTTGGCTAGATTAGTACGCTAACAAAGGCAAATCAGTCGCAGTCCGACACTGACGAGCAGCTTGACAGCTCAGCGAAAATGAAAAAAGAAAATCTGGCTATCCTTAACGTTAACGGTTAGTGTCACTACGACTGGGAAAATGGCGCCGTCTTACCGAAACTCTAGTGACTGGTTGAACTGAATTGTTACACAATGTAGTTTCTCACACTGGCTCTTTCTTCCTCTGTCTGTCTTAAATCAGATAACAGACGAAACGTAAATAAAAATACCGTCCGTGAACAGTAGGCAGCCATTTTTCTCCCTGGCAGAAAATTGAATGGTGCATTGTGGTACTTGTAGTATCACTTCGTTAACGTTCACGCGCAAAATAATTATAACTGGATATATTGTCATTACTTCGCCAATGCATAAACATCTGAAGTCTGGTTTATTGTAATCATAGTTATTTAGTGTCACTTAATGATACAGTCATTAAAAAACATGCTTTATCATGTTGCATTTCTTTTTACAGCAACAACAATTCTAGTTATAAAAACTACATTTCCAACAAGTCTAGTCTTGAAGTCTATGGGGTTTGTAGTCTTATAGAGAAAACATGTTTTTCGGCTGTTAGTGTTTATAGAGACTGGCAGTAAAGTTATGTGCCCACGGCCATGTGTGCAGGTCTGCATACCAATCAAAGATCCCATCAGATATTTGATTAGCCACGAAATTATTTGGAATAAAAACTTGTGCACATTTGATCCTCCAGGCTATCTTTGCCATCCTTTTATTTACCCTACAAGCTCTAATTGAACATAACCAATGCACAAACAACTCGTTTCTTACATATAAACATACTAAGTCTGGTTTATTGTAATTTCAATAAATTACTATCTTTTTTATATATAAGTCATGCAATCAGAGGCAAAAAGCAACAATCAGTTCATGACAGAACGCACACTCCAGTTAAACAAAATGTTAAATATTATTAATATTAAATGTTTTTTACAGAAAGATAGAAATCTTACAGATGCTACCCTGAGTTGTATTAATTTCTTTTAGACAATGCACACAAATGATCTCTGTCAAAATATCTGACTCCATTTACTGCAGGTAATTCGCTTATTATTGATAAATACCTCATACAGCCCACTTAAAAAAATCCCAAACTGCCCCTTTAATTTTCTTTTTATTTGTTATTTTATAAATATTTTTGGTCAATTTTATCTCCTTACATGATTAAACTAAAACACAGTTTAAAAATAACCTAGGATGTGATTTTTGTACAGAAATATTAAATCCTTTTATCATAATTCAATTTAAATTAATATTTCTTGCAAATTTTTATTTTATTTTATCAGAAATATTAGAATAATTTTTAAAAAACCCACTATGTGCAATTTCTGTGTAATAGACTGTAAAATCCGGTTCAGGTTGTTTAAACCCACCAATTCGGCCCTGACTGAAAATTGCGAAGAGGCACAGTATTTTACTTAAATACACTCACACATTTTAAACAGAAGGCTATTGCAAACATCTTCAGACACTTTTCTATACAGACACTTACAAAGGATTGCATGCACACACACACACACACACACAACATAAAGCCACATGCACACTCTCTCTTTTTTTTTTTTTTTGCCTAGAAGGTTTTCAGCTTGAACACTTTTGCAAGAGGTGCTTTGGCACTAGAGTAGATCAGATATGATTCTCCTTTAGAGTTGAAAAACTCCCAGTCACTGCACCCAATCGTTGGGAGCCAATGGACAGGAACAAAGCCTTCATATCCCTGCCACCTAAAAACAAACAGAGAAAAGGAATCGAATCAAATGTGTATTTGATTCTCCAGACTTGAATATTAACTGTTTGCCAGTTCCTACTACTGAATCCTCACATGTCAAAACTAGTTAACTTCACTGGTTCACAGGGGGAAAATAAATCTACATTACAAGCGTAGGTGTATGTCTCAGCACTAAGTTAGAGGGCTATCAGAGGGGTGTTGTTGACAAGTTCAGTACCTGTAGAGAACGCTGTTGAGAGAGTAGGATTCTCCGTCAAAGGAGTTAGCAACAACCAGAAAATATTCCTCCCCGAGGTTAAAAAACTCCCAGTCCACTGCACTGGAGGAACAGAAAGGTATGTGGTGATGACGAGAGATTGAAATGGCAGCAAACAGGTTATTACACAAGACGTGTTCTCATAATCTCTTTAGTCTTTGTGTACATGCACATGGCATACTTTAGTGTTTGCACATCTGTACCTGTAGGTGACAATATCCTGGAAGCGGACAAACAGCTGTCCATTCATGTCCAGTTCGTAGATAGTGGAGTTGATGGCATATCGACTTGGTCCATTACCAACGAGACTGTGTCCATTGGCAACAACTAAGAAGACTCTATTGCCAATCTGAAACATTTCCCAGTCTGTGGCACAGAATGTCTGTATTGACAGAGACAGATAGAATTTTGAGGTACTTTTACTTTACTGCCTTTATTAAACAGTTGAAGTTTCTAGGTACTTTTCAGATCAAGATAAATAAAAAAAGCAACATATGATAAACTCATAAAATCTAATGCATTGTTTCAACATGTCTAGTTGGGGCCCCCTGTCAAGGTTCAGGTTTCTATGAGTTGTTAGCAAACTCATTACCAAAGATAATTCAAGTAAAAAAAATAAATACATATCTGAGTAGCAGGATTCCTTAATCATCTCATGACCCATTAGATTTATCTTGTGACCTTTTGGAGGGGACTCGACCCCTAAATTGGGAACTACTGGCCAGATTATCTACAGTAACTGTATTTAAAGGAGTTAAAACTAGCGCACATCAGCCAGCTTTAACAGTAAAATGCTACTTACACGTTATTGCATCAGTGTTAACAACTTGATAATTTCATATATAATAATAATTCACTCAAAGCAAATTTTCTGTGTAATAATCACTTTTACTTTAGCTGATAATACTTGTGTCTAACATCTGACTACTTCTTCAACTATTGCTTGCTTGAACATAGAGATGGAAATGCTGTACTTTCACTCATGATTAATTTCCACCTGCCCCAAGGTGTTCTTAATGATATATCCAGCAGTGGAGTTCCCCTAAATCATCTCCTTTTGGTTTCTCATGTGACTATCAATGTGTCAACACTCTCTCCTCAAATGTAGCTAGATTCAAATATATGATTCACTATCAGTTACATGTCAAAGCACTGCAATCGCTCAAGCAAATCATGGCAAACCACACGCTCTATTTTTGGCCCTGTCTTAAATGATCCTTGCTTCCCATCTCTCTTTCATTATCCTTTTATCTCTCCCCGTTTGTATTCCCTTCCTTCTGTGTGTACAGACAAGATGGTTTTTCATATTCATCTCAAAGATACAGATCTCATCAGAGGAAATCAAAGCCTAGCTGGTGAGAAGATAAATGTTATGGAAATCATGCAGCAAAATGCTACATTAAAGTGCTATTAAGTATCACTCCCACCCACACCTTCCAGATTTACCCTGTATTGTTGTGGGGTACCAAACAGTTTTTTTAATCAATTATTTGAAATTATTTTTAGTCTTTTCAGGCAAATGTTTAAGGCCAATTACGGATTTCTTTTGCCGTGTTATGTTCATCTCATACCTTAATTGTCTGAAACACCTGGAAGCTTCCATTGACCCAAACGTAGATGACTGAGTCTACAGATGTAGACACTCCATCAAAGGCATTTGCAACCACCAGGAAATGGTACGGTCCAACTGTGAAGAACTCCCAGTCGTAGGCTCCTGAGGTCGGCAGCATCTGGTGAACCTCAAAAGACTTTGTTAACCTGTTCCATTTGTATATCACACTGTCTATGGCGTGATTATTATTACCTGGAAGACAAGCCAGGAAGAGAGGGAATGGAACAGAGTCTAATATTTTGCTGATGTCACGCCAGGAAACGTGCACGTTAAAAGGTAGTCATTTGACTGATATTTAGTCTTTACCTTGTCTATGATTGGCCACAGCGAGATAGGTTTGTTGATTGATGTTAAAGGCCTCCCAGTCCCGTGCACAGTGGGTCTGCAGAGTCTGGAACCGCACAAACCGTTTTCTTCTTTTGCTCCACTTAAAAATCACAGAGAAGTCTGTCTCTGATTCCTTGTTAAAATGCTTGTCTGGCCCACCGCCAGAGTTAGACACCACCAGATATATCTGGATCGAAGAAAACACAGGGAATGTCAGCTCTCCAAAGCGATTTCTTACTAGGTGGATGTACACATGTGCGTTATTCATATTCCATAACCCACCCTTTTTTGTCATACCTTCTTGTCCATGATGAAGTGTCTCCAAGCCAGAGCTTCATATGTGCTGATATTCTGGTAGAGCTGGAAACCCGTGTGGCTCCACAGATACACAGCAGAGCCAGAGGCTGGTGACCGATGAGCCATAGCAGCCATCAGACCCACGCCAGGTACCTGTAACACCTGAAGATTGGATGAAAAAAGTACTAGATTTTAGGCAGAAATCTAATCAGCAAAAAGTGGAACTGAAAAGCATCTCGACCACAACCAGCTAAGATTGACTAGATTAAACTTTTTAACCTTTCTACCTACAAAAAGCATAAAATGAAACAGAAGAAGAAAATAACAAGTTTTGTCTAGAACAGTTGTTCCCTATCTTTCTACTCATGATATTTTTCATGGCCTGAAGAGGTAAAACTATAGGCTACAGTATTTTTCAAGGCAAATAAAAATTAAAATAACCATTATTTTAAAAAGGTGGATTTGTTTTTTTTGTATTGTAGTAATCATCTTGTGATCCCATAGAGCTTTCTTGGTATTCCACAATTCACTTAAAGAAAAATATTTTTCCCCTCTTGTGCCTTTGGTTTCCTTACAGTACATAAATATATATATTTTTATAAAATGGATACCTCTACATCATGTGTCTCTGAGCTGGTGATGAGGACCTGGTGTTCCAACACATAGTCCAGTCGTTTATGATCTGAGTTGATGGAGAGGTGCGAATTTTATAAGACCAACCTATTTTGTCAACCTAAGCTGGGTAAAAACTTCTCATGAGTGGATTCTTACCCTCCAGCACAGTGATCCACACTGTACCGTCGCAGAGGTAGAGGCCTTTCCTAAGCGGATCGAACCACAGCTGGCCTTGCCGCAGCTCTGAGCATGTCCGCTCCAACCCCACTGAGACTCGCTCCTCTGTTTCTGTCATTTTGTGATCAAAATACAAAGATAAGCAGACAATCAAAGAAACAATCAGAATGGAATCAGAGAACCAGAGAAACATACATGTCATATCTTGCATCATACTGTATTTTACATCTTGTAAAAAGCATCTGCAAGTTACCATACGAAGTCAGATGGGCGTCACCCTCCCTCCCCATGACAGGCAGGTCTGAGAGAAGTGGCGGTACTGACAGAACTGCTAGCTGGGGGTCCGATGAGGGGCAGATGTGATGGGTGGCATCCGAACCTGGCACCAAAACCAGCTGTCGCAACAGACCCTGTACATGGCGATAGAAATATAAGAAGAATAAGAACATATTTGACTCTTTTATACAACAGTGGTTGGCAGCCTATTTCTTATTAAAGTTAGTGATGAGGAAATAGGAGTCTTACTGAATACAAGCCTTTCCATCTCCCCCGACTGCCAATGTGGAATCTCGATCCCTGAATGTTGAGGTCTGAGGGGAAAGGCCTGGAGGGAACACTGTTTACCATAAAAAGACATTATTTCTAATAGCTGAGGTAAGTTGTTTTTCTTCTATAAATGAACTAAATGTCTATGTAATTAAAGTAGTCTTGTCCATTCTTCTGTTTTTATGACTGAGGAAGGAATTGTATTGTATAGGCACTGTACAGGGGCTGATATTCCTCCCTTGGATGCACCAGAGGGAGTTTCCACTAAAAAACATCTATCACATACTGTCAGGCCAGTATGATATGGCTGCAGGGTGTGTGAAGATTTGGAGCAGTGCCATTGTATTGTGGTGAAGGATCTACTAATTCCCTCAAGGGAATTCAGAGGGAACAGGAAAGGAGGATGATGGGAGACAGTGTACCCCACCCAGTGAACAGAAGAACTCAAGACACACAAGAAAAAAGATTTACTTACATTTCCAGTGGTGGCCTGCAGTCCACTGTGAGCCTGACATGATGACTGCCAATGGCCAACACCAGAGTGTGCCACTGGTTATCAGCCAGTTGGCTGCTCCGAAACCCCCTGCGCTCTACGACCCCTCCGTGACCTCTAAAAAGGAAGTGCAGACGTTTTCTCGAGAACCTCAGTCCCAGGATTATCCGTCCATGTTGCTCATTACTCTTGACTCGCCTCTCCTTCTCCCTCTCTCTATGTTGCTCTTCTCCACTGACACCCCTCTCTTTATTCCTTTCCAAAATGTTCCCTTTATTACTCACTTCCTTCTCCCCCATCCCTCTTTTCTCCATTTCTTTTTTTGGCCCCATCAAGGAAAAGATGTATTCATTTCTCTGAAAGGCAAACAGGAAAAACACACTGTGGTTGGCGGGGATGGAAAATAATAAAGTACATTTACTCAAGTACTGTACTTAAGTACAACTTGAGGTACTTAAAGCTGCAGATAATTTGATAATGAAAATAATTTTTAGCTGCAGCCCTAATTGTACTTTATTTGAATAAAGTTACTTTTTACTTCTTCTCAACTACATTTCAGAGGGAAATATTGTCCGTTTTACTTCACTGCATTTATGACAGTTACAGTTACTTTTCTGATTAAGATTTTATAAACTACAGTGCATGAATACAGTACAACCCCAAAATATATTACAGTTTAATGCATAATTAGCACTTTTACTTAATAATATTTCTGTACTTTCACTTTAAGTAAAGAATCTGAGCACTTCTTCCACCACTGGCATACAGCACCGGCTGTTTCTGACGAATGTGGATGCTCACCGTGGGTGCAATGGGAGTGACTTTTAGTGTCACAACAATGGAGAATTCTTTGGGGAAGAGGTCGCAGTTCACCAGCAGCTGGGAGGAGGGAAAGCTCAAGGAGGTATGAGGACTTGAGATATGTACTCCCCTCACCACTCCAGCCTGCTTCATGTGCATCCCTGGTACAAGTTTGGAGGGATCCCTCTCGAGGACAAAAGACAGAAGATCCAGAGGGAGCAAATCTGCAAACAATAAGCAAATAAAGAGGTCAGGAAGATTGTTTTACTACTTAAGCCTTTATATGGAGACATTGCTACATTATAAACCAGCTGGGTTGGGGTCAGGACCCCTACAGGTGTTGCAAAAAAACAGAATTATCTTCTACCAAAATTATGTTTTGTAATTGTTCAGACTTTTCTACATGTTTCTAAAAATAATATTCAAACTAACTGGAAAAGGAAACATTCACACACAGATATCAACTGAATGTAAGTAAGTGCAGTTACTCAAGTATTGTACTTAAATACAATTTTTAGGTACTTGCACTTTGAGTATTTTCTTTTCATGCTACTATACGTTTACTCTTACATTTCAGAGGTAAAAATTGTACATTTTTCTAAAGCTTTAGTTACTTTACGAATTAAGACTTTTTTATGATGCCTTGTTATCAATCAAAATACTCACCAGTATGTACAAATAGAGCTGAAACAATTAGTCGATTGCCATACTTTTTCTTCAACATTTCATTGTTTCAGCTACGACAATTTGCTTTTTCTGATAATTATTGTTAACATGTTAATTTTTGTAATACTGTTTAATAATTTTGAATTTTCAGCTGTTGGTTGGACAAAACAAGCATTGTGAAGCTGTCTCTTTGGGCTCTGGATAATTTTGTTCAAGCAATCAATCGATTCATTGAGAAAATATCTTTTACAGTGTGGTATCAGTAATTTTACTTCAGTAAAATCAGGATCTGATCACCATTGCTCATGGGTTAATAAGTAGTAAACAAGTAGACATAGCTTTGTTTTAAGGGGACAAATAAGGTTGGGAACAACTGCTATAAATTAATAAATCAATTAATGTCATAGCACGCTTGAGTTTCTGCCCCACCCCAGTGTGTGAGAATTAGCCCTGGGTGGCGTTGGAGCTATAGGAGGTTTTTGGAAGGGTTGTTATTAAGCGAGAATATTACTGAAATTGATGAGACATCATGTAAACATTCACCCTGCTCGTCCTGGTATTCTGATGTCTATTGGATTGTTGTGGAATCCTAACCACATCCAATGTCTGTACTTGTTTGTGGGAGTTAATTTAAGTTAATATACTACACACTCAAACACTCCCGCTGCACTGTAAGCAGACATAGACAGTTGGAATTATCTAAAAGAATTTTAGCTGGAGGGGTTTCCCAGGTTTTTATTAGAAACTGTAAACCATTCAGTGAATAATCATTAACTGAACCAGAAACAGATGCATTGAAATGAGCTGTAAATCTGAGGTTGGGAGAGGGAAAATAGAATAAAATGGTACAATACCTGTACAGTGTCTCCATGTGTTTGTGGTGGTGTCAATGATCCTTAACCCCAAGAGAAGGAACTGCACAAATATCAGTGATGTCATCGCAAAAGACTGTTTGGTTCAGTTGCTAGCTGGTACAAATGTGTCCATGTTGAAGGTATTTCTCTAGGTATTTCTCCCTCTGTCTCTATCGTAAGTGGCGATACATACCAGATGACTGTGTATTCTTCATATTGATGCAAGTGAACATTTTCAGATCTTCCAACTCTAAAGAAAAGTATCAACAAATCCGTTGAAAATCATACCTCAGATTCACATGTATGTAAATAGTACAAGTAGACAGTCCCAGAGCTCTGTGCTTGAAGAGAAATCCATTCATCTGTGTGGAGAATCCTGCACCTGCAGCTCTATTTAAACACCACAGCCATGCAAACCAGCCTGTCACTCACACATCCTCCCTCAATTGCCTCTGATGACACAGACCTGCCAGAGGGATGAGCTACACCACTGTGTGTATGTGTGTGTGTGTGTGTGGGGGGGGGGGGGGGGGGTCCAAAAACCTGTACATACTATACTTGTGGGAGCCGACAAGCTTGGTGGGGACCGAAATGATGGACCCTACAGGTTTAAACGGCTGTTTGAGGGTTAAGACTTGGTTTTAGGCTTCAGGTTACAATTAGGTTATGGTTAGGGGTAGGGTAAGGGTTAAGGTTAGGCAAATAGTAGTGATGGTTATGGTTAGGGTAAGGGGCTAGGGAACGCATTACATCAATGTGTGTGTGCATGCTCATGTAAGACACACACACAGAAAGACTCTGACAAGTAAACAAAATTTTTATGTAATGGTATATTCTAGTGTTATGTGTTAGTGTCATGTTATTCAATGCTCCTTTTCCATGTTTACCATCCACTTAACACTAGAGCTGGGCGATATGGCCAAAATTGTGGTTTTAAACTATTCTTTATGGTCAGAACAAACAGTTGATGCCAAACAGCGGATCACTTTACAAATCTGAGGTAGAACATTCAAAACTATTATGATAAAATCTGTACAAGTATCCATAGAGAGAAACTAATTTTTCATAGAAGTGGAGGTGCTGTCACATCTCTAGGCTAGCTCGTGCTTGCTTGTAAGAGAGCAGTCCAACGGAGCGTATAGCTTTAAATGTTGGGAGCTGAATGCAGCTGACAAGTAGCTAACGGTAATGTAACTTAACTTACACATTTGCTGTATGTGGCATGTCTCTTCATTGTTTATCAGAAGCAATAATGTATCAAGTTGTAGGAACAAGTTGTCACTACGTGCCCTGTCCTCAGTCTCTAAAAAACTAACTGCATTAGCTACTTCGCTCAATATGTTAACTAAATTAGTTAGGTAGCAAGTGCACCTGGCTAGGTGGCAAACAACTGCCAAGCAACCATAGCAAGCAACTGGAATTAGTGCCCTGAAACATACAGTAGCCTATACGTCAGCTTGCTAGCTCTGCTAACGTCACATACACAAAGCATACCTTTCTTTATGCTTTCTTTCTAAGTGGCAGTTAAAGTTACTAACTGGTCCCAGCAGTCTCCCTAAGGTTGCATTGCAGAATTTACAGACTGGTGTGTGTTTTCTTCTGGACGCTGTTTGAAAGATTAATCCTTATAACGTTAGTTTAGATAGCTAAATGTTAGATTTTGCTAACATATCCTGCTCCCAGACAGCCACACCTTCTCCTGTCTCCCTAATTCACTTCTTGGAGTGCATGTGAAGGGGGCCAGGAGGTGGTGACTGTACCGTTAACGGTAACAACGCATTTTTAATTAGTAGGGTATTATTGATTGCATTTGAAGTAAAAAGTTTTATATCCAGTCAAAGTAAGGATGTTAACAAATAAATCAGACAATGCAAAAGCAATTTATTGATATTCCCAAAGTTGTGGTCTTCAAATTAAATCCCGAGTTCTCTATGTTCAAGACCAAGACAAGACGGCGCAGTACAAATGCGGTCGAGTTGGAGACAAAACCGAGACCATCAAAAAGACAGACCGGTCTCGAGTAGGCTACTACAATACTAGTATAGGCCTACATGAAAGGACTCTTTTTAATTAAAAGGCAACCTAAAAACAACAACAGCACATATGTGATATTTGGTCCATTAGATGGATATGAGCTGTGCTATTATCATATTAGCTATTATCCCATAGTTTATGATCTGAGAAACCGAGGTGGCCTTGTGCATGAATCCAGCTGTGATATTAAAGTCTCAATCCAGGATGTCTTTCTAAAAGATCCGCAAATATTACTTGTTGAAAATGTGAAGAAGTCTCAGGACAGTGAAATTAGGCAAAAACTGCAATGACAGAGTACCAAGATGGCCTTCAAATAGTATTTGCAAACAATAGCCTACTTGGATTTTAACCTGCTTTAATTGGGTAAATCACAGGAATTTGGAACTTTTCAAATCGACTTTCCCAGCAATCTCTGGGGAAGTTTTGATTATCTGGGGTCACCCAATACTTTAAAAACACTTCAAATAACTTGATAGAATCATTTTCTAAAATCTTTTCGAGCCTGGGTCATTGTGCAACTATAGGCAAATTATCAGACTGTGTTTGAAGAGACGTTGGCATCTCGGCTTGCGTCAGATCTCTCTGAATCCTCTCATACACAGACCCAGCACATTTACAAGGCAAATGCACTCTGTCTCTGTTTTCCTCGCCCATATTACGATCATAGACTGCACAAAGATACAAGATATAAGCTCTGCAATTCTCCCCTCTCCATTCATGAATCGTTGTTCCCTCCAGGCATGTCATAGATGCACTCTCCTGTGCGGTTTCAGAAGGACCTGTTTGGATGCAGAAAAGTTAATGTAGATTGTCCTCTCAAGCACATGCTTTTCCTTATTCCTGGTTTGATTCATCAACTGCTGCTATTAGTCTTATCACTGTTCCAGCTGTGCTGAATGTGGCCATTCAGTCAGTGTATCAGATGAGATCTAAGGGTCTAAATCAGGCATCAGGTGATAAAGCATACCCTGGAAGTTGATACGCTCTTTGAAATAATTATCACACTTGGTTTAATATACCAAAGTATTTTTTAACTTGCTACATTTAAATTTGTGATCCTTTGTATCTCAAAGTGAAGTCTAAAGTTAATTTGTGTTGCAGGATTGTTAACTTTTTGCATTTTTATCCAGCAACTTTGTTTTGTTGCTTTTTTTTTTTTTTTAGTTCCATATTGTGTCTTGTGTATGTTTCTGCAGGTTTCCTGCCAGATTTAATCTTTGGTTTTTATTTTGGTGAATATTTGGACAAGCGTGTTATGTGTAGGTTGTTTTATAACAGAAAATAAACCAAAGCAGACAGATGTTAGATTGTCACAGTTCACCGGCACCACCTAGCTGTCAATTTTCTTCAAGCCATGTCCATTCACATGAACCACACACCAACTATATATAATTCAATGTCGGTAATGTTCTCACAAGGGACAAAATGTACAGTATACCAGGCAGCAGTGAGGTTAAAGGTTTGGAGAACAAGGTCACATGATAAAATGTAAAATATAGATGTATTTTTTTTCCTCTCCCTCCACATCCTAAACATACCCCAAGGGGTAATTGTAAAGCATTAAAATAAACATGTTGCTACATTACCCATTTTGGAATATACAAATATAAATGAATGATGCACACAACAGCAAATCTGAGTACCAAACTATATTTATTGTATACAGTAGTAAAAGACCACAAATAATGTACAAATCAGTAGAGAAACAAATAACATGACAAAACCGGGGCCCTGTTCTTCGTACATAACATTATTCAACTTGTATGTTAGCCAGAGATCTTTGTTCAGCTAACGCAGTTCTTTAAATGCAAGTGGGAAGCTGGTTTGTTGGTCTTGATAACTGTGCTCTTATTTTTTTAAGACAGGGAAGTTGAAACAGTTGCTACTTGTGATTGGCTTGTGCAGAGGCATGTCTTCCAAGAGTAACCCCACACTGATTTAGCATCTGTGCCACACAACTTCCTCGAATGCTTGTTGTTAATGACTGTGGGAAGGATGAGAATTGGGCAGTCTTCAGACATCATTTTATATTCACTGGGGCCAGAGTGGAAATTAGTGAATATTTCACGCAGCAGGTGGCAGCAAAGTAGTAAAGCCTTTTGAAAATGTCCTTCATATATTCAATCATAAATGTTAAAGTATTGTATTTGACTGTTTTTATTTTATGAATGATACAAAAATACAGCTGAAAAACATGTAGACTACAATTTAATTGCCATTTAAAAATGACAGCAGCCTCCTCTGTGGCTAAGAACTACATTTAAGGCTATGGGAGCATATGGGAGACACATTCTTGAGGCCAATTACAACTGTAGCCCATATTGCATCGTTTATGATACCTCTTAAAACAAGAGTTTAATATCTATTGCTAATGTTTAAGTAACAGTGCTTCATACCGCAACAAACATAATTGATTCATTTTGTACTTTTTACTACTCAACTCAAACCCTGTTCGGTTATGACAATACCCACTGATTGGTGCCTCCCAAAAAAAAAAAAAAAAAAAAAAAAAGAAGTCGCCGCCCTGTCCGAAAATTATTAAAAATAGGTAAACATAAAAAGGGCTGTTATGATCTAGCTTACTCTGAATAAGCTTGCGCTTTATCAGGTTTTGAGCATAAGGACTTTGCTTCAACAGCAGATATATTTTCATCAACCCAACTCTGTCATCCGTGTACGAAGAACGGGGCCCTGTACCTGTGGGTACAGAACACTCCATTGGTTGGCCTCCCTCCTGATATGCAACAAACTGCATGCATCCTTCTCAGAAACTGTAAAATATTGGAGACACCCCTCACCACATTGGGATATCTTCACTGCTTGCAACCCCGCAGTCAGGTTTTGTTTTTTTAAACAAATTGCCTGCAACTGCTGCCTTTTACACACAAAAGAAACAGCTCAACAGTGAAGAGTCTTCAAAATGTGTTAACAAAGAGATACTGACTTTTGTTGGATATCCTTGCGCAAACTGAAAGCTGCTCCTCTTCATCTACAATCAGCCAGCCTATACAAAGATAAGACACCTGACCTCCGAACAATACTGTGGAACGACCTTCCTTCCCCCTCCCTCCCACTCACCCACAAATGTAAAACCCACAAGCAGAGCTGTTTGTAAGAATACCATAGGGACTAGCCACTGGCCCACTTCATCAGAAAATAGGGAAAGAAAAAGTTATGTACCACAGATACCCATAGAGAACCTCTCTCAATTAGTATAAGTCAAATAAGCTAATAACATTAATGAAATACAAACTCCCTTAAAATGTAACAGTTTTGACCTTGCTGTTTTGCTTTGAGAGTGATCCAAGTACATTAAATATGAAACCGAAGTTTGGTCTTTGGAGTATTGGTCCAAGCCGCACAACATTTATCTTAACATCCACTCTGATACTTCTGTACAGAAAAAAAAATCATCAACAAGCCCCCCCGGGTGTTATTTCTTAAAAGAAAAAAATAAAATAAAACAGGAAAACATACAAAAACATTGCAGAGCTCTTCAGCAAAAGCACCTAAAATGCAGATTAAAATACCATTTTGACAGAAGAGCAGGAGTCACCATTTAGGCAAAAAACACAAGAAAGCGAAGTGAAATGGAAGGCGGGTGTGTATTAAGTTCAGATAGTGCTTCCACTTCAAAACATTTTCATGCCTACTGACTGTGACCCCCGGACAAAAACTTGCAGAGCCTCACATTCGATCCCCCAATGGATGACAAACGTGGCAAACTACTGAATACTAAGCTTTCACTGGAGAGTGAATGAGAAGCACTGACAAAACCAGGAACAGCAGTGATGTGCTGTTGGTCCAATCACAAGCCTGCAGTGCCAGAAGGAAAGGTTGTCCTGATTGGCCAGCAGAGAGACTGTTGACACGCACAAAAGTTCAGTCCTGGCCGACACAGTACATAAACAGATGAGGAGCCCCCCCCACACACACACACACACCCCTGACGAAAAACCATGACAGACATATTTAAACTTAAGAAATAATAACGATAATAATAATAGGCTGAGAGGAGCACTGGGGAGGGGAGGGACAGTGACAGTGGCTGAGGGGCGTGGTCTGAGAGTGGCCATCAATGAGGTGGGGGGGCTTAGCAGTGCCCACCCGTCTGCTGCTGGAATACATCTATGGTGTCTTCATCTTCCATCTCCAGCTTAGAGGAGCAGAGCGAAAGAAGTCCCAGTTAGTGGTTATAAACATTAACTGAGCACACACATGATCATGCAAACATCATGTAAAAAGATTTCAGTGGAGGTTTTACAAAAATAATACAATGGGGAATAGAGCATAATATCTCACCTGTGCAGGTGTATCCGTCTCATTGATAGGCTGGCCATCAAACCTGAACCTGATCTGCCTTATTGCGAGACCCTGCAGGGGCAAACAGACACGAAGATGGGCAACTAACAGTGAGGTTGAACAACGTCTTACAGCAAATTAAAGTAATTGTATGGTGTTGCAGGAAGGGTTTTAAAAGCGGTGATTCAGGCTTTCAGCTCACCTGCCGTTCACAGTACGCCTTCATTAGTTTGCTGAGAGGTGTGTGTCTTTTGATTTTGAACTGGACCACCGACCCATCTTGCCCGGCAACCTTGAGGTTGATGTGATCGTTCTCAGTCTTTACTCCCTCCTGTAGAAACAAAAAGGTTTAACATCCGGTAGACCAGCAGGTTACAGGTAAAAGAGATATCACATAACATATAACAGGTCGTAACATTACACTAGGGTCACAGATGCACCACAGTAAAGAGCACCGCCATCATAAGACTAATACAAGCCAAGCTAACGGTAAGTTACCAGACTGTAAGCTACATATAGCTTGCAACTTTAAAAGAAACTTCACAACATCAAAGTTCGATCACGATGTCTGCTGAAGGGATATGGTTATATCATTTTGAAGACATTTTAACCAAAAACCAAACCTATATCAGTAATTATAATTCAGGTAGGCTACAATATGTTGCCTCAGTCACAGACGCTAACGTTAGCATGTTAGCTCCGGGCTAGCTGGTTGGCACGCCAGCTCCTATAACCGATGCTGTGTTTAGCTGCCGGCTAACGCTGCTAGCAGTTTTGTTTTGTTGTACAGTGGCCAAACAAGCACATATGTGTTAAAAAAACAACACGACTAGCGCGGCTACATTGTTTTTTATAAGACTGCGTCACCTCCATTAGTGTTCTTTTGTCGCTGCTGCTGTTGCGGCATTTGCGGCGTTGCGGACATAACGTGGTCCCGTTTCGACAAAGAAAAAAATCCGCAAATGACAATCATGGTGTAATTGGTATTTCTGCTCACAATATTCGAGACTCGAGTTAGTAGCCCATAGCCTCAGCTATTTCCATCTATAGAGCGTTGTATAAGTGCATATACCTGTAAATATTGCTGTGCGGGTGCTCATTCATTTGCAAACAAACACTGCGCCGATTCAGAGAAACGTGCAAACCAGGCCATTTTAGATTGCACATCTGAGAAATGGTTTGGCAGGAGATCGACTGAGCCATCACTACAAGTCCACAGCTCTTTAAATCTTAATATCTTACCTTTGGCTTTTCCTCTGACATCCTGGCTGTATTTTGTGTGCAGGCTTTCAGAATTACCGGCTAATTGGGCTTTATTTGTCTTTCTGGCGCCTTCTGTCCTCTCTTCTCCTCCGCTGACGAGTGCGCGCTTTGGACCGCTGTTAAAAATAAACGATAGGTTCGGAGAGGACCACGTGACCTTTGGAGGCGGGAGCGCGGACACGGGAGCGCGCACATATGCAAAATACTCGATCACGCGAACTGAAGAACCCATGAAGGTAATATACTCTGAATACTCTGCACACCAAGTTAGTGCATGTCTTTGACTTGTGAATATTCACACACTCCTATAAATTACATTGAATTAAATCACAAAAATAAATCATAATAGCTATGTGATGTCAATAAGAGTTGCTTGTACAACATATTTTTGTAAAATCTAAAATTTCTGTACGACTTTTAAACTATATTATAGGCACCCACAGAAACTACACACACACACATACACACACACACACACACACACATACACAAAAATCTATTATTTTCATGGCTCATGCAGTTTGGCAACCTCTTATATTCCACTCAGATGTTAACAACTGTGCCTTCTTAACAGGTCATGGCAAGAGATTATGCTGTTTTTTCTGTTTTCAAATTGAAATAGAAGGGTATAAAAAAGTATTTAGGACATTCTCATAGCAAATAACATTGTTTGAGACAGCTCATTGCCTTTCTAATTTCAGAGATTTCTTATGATTTACTTTAGTTCTGTTGTCAATATCTTAATACCATTGAATTAATACTTCTGAGTGTTTAATAAAAAAAGCAGACTGATTGGATAACCTTGGGGAATACCTATTTTACCCTGAAGCTGGTGGCTTGTGCCATATAGTAATTTGAAATAATCATTACATAAAATGATTATATAATGGGTTTTTTTATTGAAAAACTATATTCTTTTGAAATCTGTTAACCTTTCAAAAGCCTGTCTATAATCATATCAAAGTAATTTATTTAACATTAATGTCAACAATAAAGTAATTTTTTTAAATCACTTTACTGGTTCACCAAAATTTCCAAGTCACTGGACTTAATTCATTTCCAAAAATTGCCTCTTTACAAAAATACAAATTAATCCAGCAATGTCAAATATAAAATTCCTTAACCCATTATTAACATGATTTATTATATATTATATTATTATTAATTTATACTATGGATAAATAGCATCATTGAGTTTCCTAATCCTAATGATATGAAAATGTTCTTTACCTCACACAGCAGATGTCAGACTTTAGCCTCTAAAGGGCTTTGGTGAGGTGTTTTGAGCATTTAAACTTTTCAAGTGAAGTACTATAGGCTATACTGCAGGAGAACCACTGCAGTTCAATCAACATTCAGACACTGAATATAAGGCATAAGTTGTAGTTTTTATAAAAGCACAATGCAGTCAAAACACAAACAATAAAAGTCCACTGCCACTGAAGGAATTCATTAAAAGTCCAGTCGCTTTTATTATGCTTATGTGTCTTTACAGGATATACAGTCTATGGTTTGGCAAACTTCAGTCCAACTTCAGGATCAAAACATTTAACTTAAGTTAATGATTACTTTATAAATTCAGTGTGCAAGGGTGAAGATTTAATATTGACTTCATAGTATGAAAATATTTTCTAAACTTAATATGTAAAAACCAATCTGTCAGTGAAGCATGCAGTAATAACAAGAAAACTGACCTCCAACAAGTACAAAAGTAGGTTATCATTTCTGACTATATCTCTAAATTAACAGCAACCAAGAGAAGCAAAACAGACAGAATCTGGAAATTCAGATGCAACGAATTTTCTAAAGCAAAAGAAAAGACTTTTTTGATAAACAAACTGGATTATTTCCATTCTGTCCAATTAAACTCAAGACTTAACCTAATAAATAGTATAAGTAGACTGATGCTATATGAGCCACAGGATAGACTACTATAGAAGAAGGGTCATGGTGTGAATCTCAGTTCACAGATCCTCTCATGCAAATTTGGAGTACTGATTTTGCCCACTTAGACCTGAGGAGACATAAAGCAGTCAGTAAAGTCATGTATTGATTTCTAAGAATAGTTTGAGATTTGGGGGAATACATGCGCTTTTTGCTGAGACTTAGATGAGAGGTTTGATACTACTCTCGTGTCTGTCATTAAGCTACCATTAGCAGCTGGTAGCTTAGCTTAGCACAATCACTGGAAACAAGGGGAAACAGCTAGCCTGACTATGTGAAAGTAACAAAATCCACCTACCAGCATGTCAAAAATGCACTAATTAATGCATTATATTGCAAAAAAATAAGTGTGAAATGTTTAACAGTCACTATGAGGTTGACAGGCAACCAGTGGAGCCTACAGGAGGTTACTGCACCTGGCCAATAGCCTAAATAGTCTGCCATAAAACTCTCCCTAACACCACAACATTACGTTTTTATATTTAGTTTTTTGTACGGATTAAATAAGCAAGATGTAATGTCTTAATCATGAGCTTTAAGGTTAATGGTTGCTGGCAGTAGCTTTGTATTTACTGTACAAGCAGGAAAGTAATATAATTCTTCTCATTTAACTCTTAGCAAAACACTTTTCAAAAGAAACAGAAAGACATACCCACACTATGTAGTATATTCACATGTATAGGAAAGAGAGAAGTGATGAAAATGTGTCAGCAAGTGAGAGCTCACCATATTTCTTCCTGATTTCCTCATGTCTCTGTTTCATCTCTGCCTTCCTGTAAAGACAAAACATTCTCTTCTGAGCCACACAATGACTTGATAACATGTTTTCACATAAGCAAACGCTCCCAAAAGCTATGTCGCCACAAACCAGTTTGGGCTGGTAAGAATTTGACATGTGCATTTGTCCTTCATTGGTGTTGCTTTTTTTTGTTGGAAACCGACTGTATGTAGACTAAGACCTCAGTGCAACAGGAGCAGCTGGTATGATTGTAAACCATGCGACAAATCTACACGTTGAGAGTATGCACATCAGGGCAAAACAGCATGGGTGAGGAAGTGAGGTTTTTGTTTATGGGGGACGAAACTATGCAGGAAGAAACTGCTCTTGTGTTGTGTAGTCCTGGTGTTGATAAACCAGTAAAATGTCACATTCAAAGAACATTTTTTCTGACCTTTCTTCCTGCTTGGTTTTCAACTTATCAGCCGTCCTCTGCATCTTGGCCTCAAACCTCTTGGATCTGACACACAAACACAAGACCAAAGTTAAGTAAGTTATTGTTAGATAGGTCATAGGAAAAGTACGCAGTATGTGTTTGTGTGTGTTTTGAGTGTAGAGACCTGAAGGTAACGACGCCTGAGCAGGCAGAAATGTAAAGCTTGTCATGTAATTTTATCTTCACATGATTAGACTTAAATTGCCCCACATAGTGCACACTGATCGTGATCACATGACATCATCTTGTAATGAATAAAGTTCCAGACAGAAAAATATGAAGTCACATGACAGAGTGACAAAGGTAGTTATCCTACAGTATGTTCTTACTCTGGCCTTAACCACACCTAACCATTTCTAACATAATGCATAGGCACAGGCATTTTTAGACTGATACCTAATCATAAATATAAGTAACATAAAACCTAAATGTGTTGATCGGGTGGTTGTATTTGTTTTTGTAGATTCTTCCTGTCAGAAAACAACATCACAAACCACTTAGAACAACCTGCTGTACATGCATGCGTACCTCAGAGGATAAGACAGGTATTTTTAGAAAATAAATGAAAGGGGTGCAGTGAGAGAGATAGGATCGGAACCAGATTAACCACAAAACCTGATACACATCTAAGAAGTTAAAACATTTACTGTAGATTCATTTCTACTTCTCATGAAATGTGTGATTTTGGAGAAAATCACATTCAAATACACAATCAAGAAAAGTCATAATTTTAAAATATTAACAATTTTTGTTTTTGTTATTCCATTTTGATTGTGTATATTATTATTTTGTTCATGCCTCTTCAAGTCTAATAAATAGAAGCTTGAAAATTGCCGACTATAACCGATAACCGATTTTTCCTATACTTAAAGGTCATATAAAGGTCATTAGCTTATATGTAGCCTATTCCATAAATATCACTGCCTGAGAGAGAGAGAGAGAGAGAGAGAGACAGACATATGGCAAACCTTGCCCCCAAGTATGTGTCCCTGTGTCACAACCTGAGGGACAGTGAATGACTCAGCAAACGGTTGCACATAGTGTTCACTGCATGGCATGTTAAATCTGATTCATTCTTATTTGTAGTTTATGTTCTTTCTATATTTGTTATTTTTTTGTGGTTGTAACTTATAACTGCTAAATTGAATTGTCATGATTGCATTAATTCTTGTTATGTTACATTCAAATGTGAACTTTGATTTTGCTGCAAACTGCTTAGGCAACATTGTTTAACTTAAACATTCATGCCAATAAAGCACACAGAGAAAGCAATTTGGCAGCAACTAATGGTTGTTTCACAGAGCCTATATGAGCAAGGAATGTTGAGGAAGAGGTCAGCTTTAGCTCACTGCACACTTACCCAATGTTCTCACACTTGCAGCAGCGGAGAAGGCAGATCAGGAGGGCGATGATGATGATTGCACTAATCACTGACACAGTGATTATCAATATCTGGAAGTTCACTACAGACCGAGACAGAGAGGCACAATGTCAAAGTTAAGCAGGAATCCACAGTCACACATTAAGGAATTTCCCCTCGGGGATCAATAAAGTATTTCTGATTCTTATTTCTGATCATGATTGACCTTCAAGACCAAGAAAAAAAATGTTCTACTTCTCTCCGTAGTTCTCCTTTTCTTCATTTGTTGTTTAAATATCACCGTTATTGTGTAAGCAGCATTTTGCTGTTGTCGGACCATGACGTGCTTGCTAAGTCTAATATGTTTATGATCTTGGATAGTTTGCACATACTCTTTATACTGTCAACATTTGCACATTCTTTGGTCAATATTTTTGTTCTTTCAATTATCTCTTTTATTTTGGATTATTTAATTTTGTATAATTATGCTTTTCGACTTTTGCAGTACTTTTTTTCTGTTGTTCACTAAAATACCATGGCAAATTCCTTGTACTGTATGTTAAAAACCTACTTGGCAAATAAACCATCTTCTGTTTCAACCTACAGCAAAGCACGGAG